TTTTTTGTTTCTTTGCATGCCTGGTTATTTTTGTTATTAGGATTTAGAAGTTGTGATTTTTATGATGTGGATGCTGGATTTTGTTATGTTTCTTTTATGTAACATTGGAGTTTATTCTGGAATGTGATTATGTTATGTGGAATCAGTTGGATCTTTTCAGGGTTTGCTTTTAAGGGTTGAGGGCAGATCAAGAGCAACCTTTAATGTAGGCTAATTTGTCCCATTACAAATGCAGTACCCATTTACGGAATCTGCCTGATACTCTGTGTATTAATAGGTCTTTCCACTCTTGGTGGTGGAAACAAGTTATTTTCATTGTAGAGCTTGCCATGAGCTCCTCAGTTTCTTCTCCTTTCCAGTGGTTCTTTGCCGTCAGCCTTGGCTAGTTTCTTCTTCTGTATGCATAGATCAGTGTCTGCAAGAGATGTAAGAGATCTTCAGAGCTGTCTGTCAAACTTACTCCTTGCCAGCTTTCTGCCGTACACCTTCTAGATGTCTTGGTCTCTCCAAATGCTGATCTCTGTGTCTTCAATTTGGCAAGACTTCTGGCTTCTGTTTAGATTCCTTTTTCTAGCCCTGCGGTGTAGGAACTTCTCTGTAGGGAAGTCGTAGGGTTCACCTTCTTTGTTTTCCTCCTTTTGGGGGATCATAATTCTATACTGCTTATTTTCCAGTGTCTGACAGCCGTTGTTTTATGTTTTGTCCAGTTTTCTGTTGTTTAAGGTAAGAGGGTAAGTTATGTCTTTCTAGCATCTTGGCTAGAAGAGAAAAGACTTTGTTTTTTGTTTTTTGAGATGGAGTCTTGCTCTGTCACCCAGATTGGAGGGCAGTGGCACAATCTCAGCTCACTGCAACCTCTGCCTCCTGGGTTCGAGCAGTTTTCCTGCCTTAGCCTCCCGAGTAGCTAGGACTGCAGGCACGTGCGACCATGCCCACCTGATTTTTTGTTTGTAATTTTAGTAGAGACAGGGTTTCATTGTGTTGGCCAGGCTGGTCTTGAACGCCTGACCTCAAGTGGTCTACCCGCCTCAGTCGCCCAAAGTGCTGGGGTTACAGGGTTGAGCCACCGTGCCCAGCTCACTAAGACATTTTTGATAAAAGCACACACTTACTGTTCTTGTTTGGCTGCAGAGAAGCCCACTGTATAGGAAGTACCTCCACAGAAGCTACCCAGAACCATAAATGACATTATGTTTTAAATTGTCTTTTCTTATTTTTAAAATCAAAGATAATTACCAATACTAAAGAAAAAGCATAGAAAATATTTAAAATCTTATAATTCCTTGGCTCTAGTACTACCACTGTTTTCATTTTTATATATTAATCCGCATGCATGCATAGTTTTACGGAGTTGTAATCATGATATCTTTCTAGCTTGTCTTTTTTAACATACAATTTAAATTTTTTGTAATTTTCATGTCTCTTTTTAAATGGCTGCATATTGTTTTTGTGTACAATAATTTAATACATAAATATTTGCCTTAGTTTGAGGCTTTTAGGGAATTTTGAAATAATTTTGTGTTTTAGTTTGGTAGCTTAGAAAAGAATGTAAAAACCAATGGCGTTTTCAAAGGAAATGCAGTGATGAGGTCATCTGGCTGCCTGTTCAGTAAGGAGGAGAGCTGAGAGGATATTACAGACAAGTAATCCATGGACAGAGTTCAATACTTCTGTGAAAATGTGAGAAGGAGAAAATTCAGCTCAATTGCACAAAATTCTAGGTTCCTACCATCAGAGAACTTGTGATTTTGTGGGGGATCTGGTGAAAAACCAATGCATCTAAATAAATTTCACAGTTGAGTTGAACAATACTATACTATATTCCCTGTACTAAATCTTATAAATTAAAAAAGCAGCACTCTTGATGTGTTTTATTAAGGCGCCTGTCTTATCTTCTTTTTCATAAAATTGCATGAATTTATAAAAGTGAGACATTGCTGGAACAGATGTAGAGCAGCCAGATGAGTTTTCTTCCCCGCATTACAGCTGCAGGCCCTCCCTCTAATAGAGCTACTACTGCAGCTCTTGCCTAAGAATCCTGGGTCAGGCATAGACACTGATGCTACTCAGCTATGAAGGTCATATACAGATTGATCACACATTTCTTAATGTCAGTGAGGCCCTACTTTTTTTCTTTTGGGAAAGTTTCAGATACATTCATTCATTCACTTGGGAGGTAGTCTATTGAAATTAATAAGAGCCAAACTTTATCTCATTTACTATGTGGCAGGCACGAATCTAAGAGCTTTATGTATAACAATTCTTTCATATGGGTATTGCTGTTATTCGCTAGTAGCTGGCAGGGGCTGGACTTGAATCCCAACCATTGGCTTCAGAGATCTTGTTCTCCTCTTTGTAAATGTAGGCTCTTGAGTCATTCCCTTCAGGTTCAAATTCCAGCTCCATTACTTACAACTTGTGTGAATGACCACAGTCAGTTACCATACTTGTCTCCTCTGAGTCTTGGTTTTCCATATCTGTGTGCTACATTACATATAACCTAACTTGGTCCAGTGCCTGGCATGTAGTAAGTCCTCCACATACTTAGCTCTTATTAATTAACCATTCGTTAAAACATATACTTAGAGTTCCTTCCATGTGCTTGCTCTTTCAAGGAGCCCTTGTGCTGTTTTGTCTGTTTTCTAAAATGGCATAGGTACTTTAATGTGTGGCTCTGAAGATCATAGCTGATAGAGGATATATTCAGGTTAGTATTTCTATTACCTTTCCTCCGTGTATGAGCTTGGAAAAGGGAGAGAATTTGGTCAAAGGAAGAACATTCTTGTGGATTCATTTTTCAGGTCACACAGTTAAGTCATTTTTCAGGTCACACAGTTAAGTCAGAGGACCAAGAAAAGGTTAATCCTTGATTGACACGTGACCACCCTCCATGTGGATGTGTCCTGTTTGACTGAGTTTATATGTTAAGAAGTTTATATGTATACGTAGAGCAGGAAGGGACATCAACTAAGCCAGCCAGTTCTACTAAATCAGCCCCCACCATTAGGGAAATGATAAATATGGCAACCAGGTAACCCTCACATCAGCACCCCAGTGTAGATTTTAAATGAATGCAAATATTAAGTTATGGAACCCTATTAGCAGAGGGGAGGGAAAACCAAAGGCAGAGAATGAGTAGAGTATTTTGATAGAAAGTGAAAAGAAGTTAGAGAAAAAACTCGAGTGAAAATAGTTGAGAGAATTCTGTAAACCCTTATATTTTTATCTAAGCTGAGGATGTTTTTAACAGAAGATTGGCACAGGCTTTGTTTGGTTATTCTGAGAGTGCTATTCTGAGATGTGTCTTCATTCCTCATGTTTGTGTTTTATACCGGGGGTTTGACAGATCTGTGTTCTTTCCTTCTTTGCAGTCCTGAGACTTTCTACCAATGCAGGCCAGTGGAAAGAAGCAGCTAGCAAGGTGACCCATGCATTGGTTAATATCAGGTAAGGAATGAGAAGTATCTCTTGCAGAGTTCCTTGGCTCTTCCTCAGGTTTATTGTACCTTTCTATGTAGAATGTGTTGAACACTCTCCTATTTTAAGCCTTGATGTCTGTAGGAGTGGAAGAAAAATTGTCGTACTTGATCAAGAAAAGCAGGAGTACACCAGGCTTTTATTTTGTCATATTGAAACAGCTCAAAGTGCTGGCTGTTCTGTGAATTTTTTTTTTCTGAGAGATGGTTACAAGCCCTTTTCAGGCATGCTAGTTGCCAGAGTGTTCTCTGTGTATAGGTCATCTGAAAGCTTTTCTCCAAAAATGTTCAGCTTTTCTCCATGACTTCAGTGAATGACTCATGGTTATCTAGAATGTTGACCTTTTACTTTACGTGACTATTTATATTTTGGTAAACAGAGGCAAATAGGAGTCTATGGAGCTAAGTCATTTTAGGTTGCTTATAAAACAGCAAGGCAATTACAGAGTGCCGTATGTATTGGATAAAGTTGTGTCAGGCATGGAGTTGGTCAGGGTCTTGAGGAGTTACCACCCATACATAGGCGTGAGTTGTTGGTTAATGAGAGGAGAAAGTGCTTTCACCATTGGGAAACCTATATCTGACTTTTCTTCTGTTTCTTGCTCCCTTTGTGCCTATGATTTTTCATTTTCTCTACAGTTATTACATTGTTCTTATAAACAATTGGAAAATTAACATTGAGTAAAAGAGGCAAACCCAACAGATGGGGAACTTGATTTAGCTCCAGATGTAAGCCTTGCCAGACATTCCTAGTAATAGTAATGCACATTTACAAATTGGTATAGATTCTAATGTGTGACAAAGCTGGGCTGTGATTTTTTTTTTCCTATGTCTTTTCTTTCTTTGTATTTAAAGGTAAAATTTCCTGTTCCTGCAGTGCTTTACTACACTGTTTGGCACATCTGGGCATAAAAGGAGAGATGTGAAATGTGTGTGTTAAGAGGGCTGGGATGAGGAAGCATGGGATGAGATGTGCTAACAAGATTGCAACGAAGGTTGGTTTGCCTTACCTGTCTCCAGAGTCATTTGGCATCAAACACAATTTTATAAATCTCACAAATAATTGCATCTCTGCACCTAGCAAATAATCCAGCTACTGTGATAAGGCCTTATGATAAATGTGATTTTCTGTAAGAATCAGGAATTGCAAACTGCCTACTCCCAAATACCTCTTTATGACCCAAGGGCAGTATGACAAATGTGGGTATTTGATTGAAGCACCAGGTTCTGGGGTAGGGTATGAAGTGCATATGGACATAATTTATGTTGTGTTGACTTATTCGTGTATTTATGTAGGCTTTTCAGGCAACTCCTTTTCATCTGGGGCCTGTTTCCTTGATCACATTCCTTTATGCTTGCTTTATCTTCTACTTTGTTGCTTTTCCTTTTTGTGGTTTCTGGCTTGGCTACTGTCCCTGTTCTTCCCAGGGGCCATCAAACAGCTGATTTAAGCTTTTGACCTCTCCTTTTTCTGACAGCTAAGAAGGGACTGGGCTAAGCCTTGTTACCATGTAACCTCTTTCTTCTGTCTGCATGACTGTCAGGCCTCTGCCTTCATTTTCATTCCTTAAATTTCTCTGATGAACTTGTGGCAATAATCACATAATTTTTACTGTTGCTAATAATTGGACTCTGTATACACATAAAGTAGCAAAAAGATCCAGTCACAGATAGGCTCAGTGGCTCACGCCTGTAATCCTGGCCCTTTGGGAGATAGAGGTGGGAGGATCACTTGAGCCCAGGAATTCAAAACCAGCCTGGCCAACATAGTGAGACCCTGTCTCTTAAAAAAAAGATAATTAGCTGGGTCTGGTGGCACGTGCCTGTAGTCCCAGCTACTCAGGATCCTGAGGTGGGAGGATCATTTGAGCCGAGGAGGTCAGGCAGAAGCTATAGTGAGCCAGGATCATGCCACTTTGAGACCCTGTCTCAAAAAAAAAAAAAAATAAATAAATAAATAAATTTTCTCAAGAGATAATTGGAAAGAAGTGTTTAATGTCAACCACAGTAAGGCCAGATCAGGGAAAAATACAACTGGTACTAAGCCTGCAAAAGTGTACTGTTTTTTTTTTTTTCCTGACATCTATTCTCACGTGTTAAATGCCAGACTTTGTGCTGGTCTTTCTTATACAATCTTCTTTAATCTTCAAACTCTATAGGGTGTATTATGTACTTTTTAAAATATACTTTTTCCTAGTGATGAAACTGAGTCTTAAAGATGTTATATATTGTGGAAGGCCCCATATTTGTTCCTTGGCAAAGCTGAGAATTAATAATAGGTCTTCTTTTTTTCTTTGGGACAGAGTCTGACTCTGTTGCCCAGGCTAGAGTACAGTGGCATGATTTCTGCTCACTGCAACCTCTGCCTCCCGGGCTCAAGCAGTCTTCCCACCTCAGCCTCTCAAGTAGCTGGGACTACAGGCATGTGTCAACACACTTGGCTAATTTTTGTATTTTTTGTAGAGATGGAGTTTCGCTCTGTTGCCAAGGCTGGTCTCAAACTCCTGAGCCCAAGTGATCCACCCACCTTGGCCTCCCAAAGTGCTGGGATTACAGGTGTGAGCCACTGCGCCTAGCCTAATCATAGGTCTTCTAAGTCCAAGTTCAGGACTGCTCTTTCTTCCAAACCATAATGCCTCCTTCTATAAAGTTGCATTGAATACTAACATGGAGGGGTAAACTGAAAACTCATCATGATGTATTGAAAGGAATATGGAAATTTGAGTTGGAAAAACTATATTTTTTTCTTTTGTCCTACCACTTACTTTGTGACCTTGAGCAAATTACTTAGCTTCTGTGGGCCTCTACCATTTATAAAGTGGGTGGATAGTGATATTAATTATATCACAGGGTAATGGTTGTGAGAATTATATAATGTAATGCATGTGAAAGCTAGTGAACTGTAAACTACTGGTTATTTCACTTGTGTCTTCAAGGTTCATTTCTGTTGTAGCATGTGTCATAATTACCTTCCTTTTTAGGCTGAATAATATTCCTCTGCCTGTTATACCAAATTTTGCTTATCCATTCATCTGTTGATGAACACTTGAGTTGCTTCTACTTTTTGATTATTATAAATAATGCTGCTATGAACATGGGTATACAAATACCTGTTTAAGACCCCACTTTCACTTTTTGGGGACATATCCCCAGAAGAGGACTTGCTGTGTCATATGGTAATTCTGTGTTTATTTTTATTTTTTGAGGAATTGCTATAGTGTTTTTTTAGATTTAGCATTTTGAGTCTTCCTTAGAGTGTTTCCTAAGTACATCTTCATTTTTTTTTTTTTTTTTTTTTTTTTTGTTTTTCGCTCTTGTTACCCAGGCTGGAGTGCAATGGCGCAACCTCCGCCTCCTGGGTTCAGGCAATTCTCCTGCCTCAGCCTCCTGAGCAGCTGGGATTACAGGCACGTGCCACCATGCCCAGCTAATTTTTTGTAGTTTTAGTAGAGACGGGGTTTCACCATTTTGACCAGGATGGTCTCGATCTGTTGACCTCGTGATCCACCCGCCTCGGCCTCCCAAAGTGCTAGGATTACAGGCGTGAGCCACCGCACCTGGCCCTCATTTTTCTTTTCTGTAAAAGTTAAGATGTTACCTTAACCTTGAAAGATGTTTTGCTTTCCTTGGTAGGGAGAACTTGATGGCTTTGGATGAGGGCAGTCCAGGGAGTTTTCTTTTCTCAGTCAGTATTCTCTTAGCAGAGGACAAAAAATAGTATGAGTTGGAAGTCTGTACTCCACTAAACCAATGATAATGAGTGCTGCCTCAGGCTCTTTTGCCTTTCTCTAATAGCTTGTCTTATATACCCATGACACTACTTTCTGTGGTTTAGAAAACAAGGACCCTGGGTCAGAAAATCTGATCTGTGGCTCCCCAGGAATACTGTGGGATATTTAACACCAAGTCGATTATCAAGGATAGAGATATAAAGGCTTAGCAGTAAAATTCTGATGTTGTACAGCATTTGCTTCTGCTGTTTATAAAAGGTATTTGTGCTGATCCCACATCTGAAAAGGATTTCTAAGACAGAGTAAACAAACTCTTAGCCACCTCTTCTGTAGTATGTTCTTTGATAGCCATAGGAAGGGCTTGGGTTGCATGTGAAGTCTTCAGACACCAAACAGCTCTGAGGCCTTCCAGACTAGTTTGTCAGTTGATGATAGCCCCAAATTATGTCTTTGAGATCTGGAATGCAGTGCATCTAATGACTACCGTAACATAGTGCCTCCCCAGCAAGTGAAAGGCAGCAGGAAGGCTGTAGACCTTTCTGTTCTAAGAATACTTAGTTTAGATTGTGACAGTGAAAGTTAAAAGTACTTTGACACATTTGGAGGCCTAAATTTTCTCGTGTCAGTCTTTTTGCTTTTCACTTGTCTTTCTTGGCTTAGTCAAGCTAGTTTTTTAACTGTCAAAGTTAGTTGTGTTTAAACAATTTGCCTCTCTCTTCCTGTTTGATCCTTCAGTGAGATTCTTAAAATGCAGCTGCTTAGAAACTGCTGTTTTTATTGGTGTTTACCAACAAACAGGGCCCTATATGTTTTCCTTTCTATAGGAGAGTTGTGTCATTGCTTTGCTATAAAATATACATCTATTGCTCCACCTTTGAGATTCTACTTGTTGGTGTAATTGTTGCTTCAGTTGCTTCCACAGATCTAGTGGTTCACAAAGGAGTGCTTTGAGGGGCCAGTGCAGGGCTGCTAGGTGAACTGTAGCACGGTAAAGGAGTCTTGGTTTAGGAGACTGTTAATGACAATTCAGATATTGTAATTAAGATTTTTATTTGGGGTCTGCAGTGTTTTAGATGAGTGTGACTTTAGCATCTAAAACTCCTCCTAAACTTATCCTGAAATTTGGGAAGTCTTGCCTGGAGACTTACATGCTAAGTAGTTCCTGCCAACACTTGGCAGGCAATCCCAGTGAGGTCTTGTACTTTAGGAAGATGTCTGCTGACAATTAACCTTATTAGTC